CTCAGCTCACATGAGGTCAGTGCTTGACTCTCCCCTTCCCAGCCCACTACCGCTGCCTCACAGTCTGGCTAGGTTGGAGCTGAGCGGTGTGTGAGCACAGGGCGTTAGACTGTGGACTCTCTGGCCTGAAATTGCCAAGCTGGCCCATGCCTGTGGCCCACTCAAAGATGGGTGCCCTTTCCCAGAGGGGTCCGGGCTAATAGACCATGCCTGGCTGAGATACTGGCTTTGTCCCATGGGAGCTGGGGGCAGGGTCTGCCTGTGCTTGCCTGGTGTTGTGTTGGCTGTAGTGCAGGCTGAAACTATGTTCACTGGTCCTGGGGCTGTGTAGCCAGGAGCTGGAGCATACATGTGAATGGATACAGATCTCATAGAAATCATACAGAAGCAGAGCAGGGAGTGACCTCCAGAGGTCTTCTAGTGCAACCCCCTGCCTGAGGCAGGATCAGCCCTATCTAAACCACCTTGTATAAATCCATAATTTAACCTCTTAAGAAAATTACCATCAACCCTGACATGACACAAGCCATAACACCCTAACCTGCCACAAGTAAAGCAGGGGAACCATGGCAGCTAATGTCCTGCTGCTGTAAATGTTTGTTACTATATGCTCATGAGATCCCAGGCAGAGGGCCACTGCTACAGAGGAAGACAAAAACCCTCACAGTCCATACCAAGCTGACTATGGGGTAAAGTCCTTCCTGATCCTAAACATGGTGATCAGTCCTACCCTGAGCAGAGGCAAGACCTTCTAGCCAGGAATCTCTGGGGGTTAGTCCCAGCAGGTACATTGGCATGCTTCAGTCAAAATCCCCAGCCCTGGCTGCAGCCAACACTCAATGCCTCTGAGGAAGGCTTGAACACACTCTGACACATGTAGCAGAAAAGACAGGAGGAGGCAACCAGCAAAGCCCAGAAGCATGGAAAATCCCCATTGTAGAACATAGGCAAAGCTATGCTTAGATCATCCCTGACCAGTGGCTTTCCAACCTCTTCCTGAACACCTCCAGTGATGGAGAGTCCACAGCTTCCCTAGGCAGTCTGTTCCACTGCCTCCCTGTTCTACCAGGGAAGAAGTAGTAAGGGAGCTTCAGGGAGACCAAAGTCACAGCATTAATGATGAGTAATGAGAGGTGGATGGAGAAACAGGGGTTATAAGCTCCCATTACCCTCTAGCAGTATCTGCAAGGTGTGTTCATTCCATCGAGATGCCCAGAAGCAAGAACCAGAACCGTAGCCTCAAATGCTCTTAAGCCACAGGGCACAGGCAGTTCTGATCCCAACTAAGGCTAGTCCCCAATGCCAGGGCTTGTGGCTTTGGCCCCTGTGCTTGCCAGGTATTAGCCAGCCCCGTGCCAGTGACCTACATTGGTGCAATCTTTTAAATGGCTCAGGCTGAAGGTATTTTTAACCTACGCTTAAAATAAAATGATTTATGGCCAGAGAAAAGGAAAAGGAGGGAATGGGAGCGTCTCCCACTGCAGTCAGTTTCCATGCAACATACTAAGCCCCAGGGATCAGAGCAGGTTTTGGGTCTGGGGGCTGTGCCCAAACCCATGTGTCCTGGGTCAGGGTAGACCCCATGTCCAACAGAGTCATCACCAGAGCCCTGGGGGAGGAGGAACAGCCTGGGAGCCTCAGAGATCTGCTGGGGAATCCCCTGGGAGGTAGAGGCTGGCCTGGTAGCAGAAAGGTCACAGAAACCTGAGTTCCCTTCCAGCCTTTGTTAGTCTGTCATGGCTCCCAAGATGGTACATTGACTACATTCTGTTTCTTGAGAGCTGTCTCAATGATCACAGCACAGGGAAAGGCAGAGGCACTGCGTCTAGCTCCTTATGGACACTGACCTGGTCTGTGCCTCAGTTTCCCTGCTTTGTACATTGCAGGCAATGGGAACACAGGGGTTCATGAGGTCTCTTACACATACAGGCAGATTTTCAGGTTCTTAGCAGCCAGGAGGACACTTCCCAGTGGCCAGTTCCTAGTGGTTTCCATGCATGGGGCATGGAGCCTGTTGGCTCGTTCTAGTTGTAGGTTCTGCTTGGGAGAGATGTGTGATCAGACCAGCAATGGCAGGGAGTCTTCAGCAGTGTGTGGCTCCCCAGGGCTGGCTAGCAGACTGTGACAGCACTGGTGTCACTGTAGGTGCATCTTCAGGGAGGGTTCATCCGGTTATGCCCTCCTCACACTGCCCAGCTCCAAGCTGCTGCAGCTGTTGAGTGAGAATTTAACATGCCCATGAAATGGGCACAGAACCTGGTGCTGATGGGTTGGGGGGGAAGGACTATTTTCCTAGTGACTGGGGTTTCTGGTGGCAGACACTGAGAAGAGAGGTGGGGAACCAAGACTGGATTATTATTCCTCCTAGTGAAGGCTTGAGGAGGCCCAGCCCAGCATGGTCAATGGGTGATCCACCTCTTTGCCCCACACTGGCACTGGCTGTGCTCTTCTGATGCTGGCTCCCTCCATCCATCCTTGTCCTTTCATCCCACAGCCCAGCACCAGCACCATCTTCCCCCAGCTGCTGGGGGGCCCACAGAACTTGTGTGAAGGATGCAGGGGAGGAGTCCTAGCTGGTTCAGCTCCCACAGGCCAGGCCTAACTTCTCCAAGGCAGTTCTTGGCTCTGGGGGGTGGGGATATCTGGCTCCAATTGTGGGTGCTGTGACCTGGTTCTGGTGCCCGGGTGGATGCAGAGACCCTCAGATCAGGCTCCACGGGGTATGCTCTGTTGCAGATCCCCTCTCTCACAAAAATGGGGGGTGGGGTAGGGTGCAGAGGAGGGATGGGAGCATTGTCATGGCTTGTCCACAGATCTTGGTGAGGGTAGGAATCATCAGAGGGCCCAGCCAACACTTGGCTCAACATGCTGCCCCATATGGCCACAGGGGAAGGCTCTGGGTTAGGACTGGGAGCACCAGAGATTTCACTCCTTCTTAGACCCAGCAGTCCCAGCCTGGCACAAAGCCCCAGGCAGGGAGGTGGGTAATGGGGAGGAGGCTGCAGGGTTGGAGGGGGGTCAGCCAGGCCAGCCAGATATGGCACAGTCACAGGAGGCATCCTCCAGCTCGCAGTGGGGGTGTCTGTGCTTTGAACCCAAGCCCACAGCCTGCAGGAGCTCAGGCCTGTGTCTGTCTGTGCATGTGTCTGCCTGTCCTTCTGCCCTTTGAAGTCTCCCCAGGTACTGTTCATCCTTGAGGCCCCATGGTCTCTGCAGAAGCTCCCAGCTATGCCCAGTTCAGGAGGGTGGAGGGGAGGCATAGAAGGCCCTGCTCCATCTCTGGCTGCCTCATAGAAGCCACCTTTGTGGTGGGTCTGGCTGGATCCAGCTCTGATACTGGTGTGGAGGGACGTGTTCCCCCCTTAGCTAGTCTGCTGGGACACATTGAAGGTCTAGCCACCAGAGGGCAGCACTGCACTGGCAGGAGCTCAGGCTGGGGTCAGAAACCCCTTGGAAGGCTCCACTGTGGGTCTGCACGTGCCTGTGACCCTGCAATGTGGGTAATACATGGTCACACTTTGTCCCTGCTGTCCCTGGGGACTCTCCAGCAGCCCAATGGTGGCTGCAGGCTCATTCTTCACAGCTTCCCTTTACATTTCCCCTCCGGGACAGGGATGGCCAACCTGTGGCACAGGGGCCGCAAGTGGCACAAGCAGCCCGTGTGTGTGATGTGTGGCAGATCAGGGAGGAGACAGGCAGCACAGCAGCAGTTAGGGCAGGAAGCAGAGCAGCAGATTGGGCAGGGAGTACAGATGGGGTAGCAGAACGCAGAGCAGCAGAACGGGCGTGAAGCACAGATGGGGGAATTGGATGCAGAGCAGCAGATAGAGCAGAGGAAGAGGAGAGGAACAGCACTTGGGTAAGGTGCGGGACTATTTTGTGGCACATCTGCCAAGAAGGTGGATTGTCCTGCACTGAAAGTTCCAGGGTTCCCAGGAATCAAAACTCATGGAAGAGGTGATATCTTTTATTAGACCAACCAGATATTTGCAAACAAATTCTTGTGTTTATCTGCAAGCTTTCAGGCACATTCATCCAGGGTTCCCAGGGACACACGTACCCCAGGCTGAGCTACAAGCAGCTCATGATTTCAGTGCCGAGGCTGATCTGACCCCAGCTGGCTCTGAAGTATCAGTTGGCCCACTCAGGTCAGGAAGGCTCCTTGAGAAGCTCCCACTACTCCCAGTTGTGCCAGGGGTGAGAGGACTCAGTGGGCAACTTTGCACCAGTGTAAAAGGACCCAGGTATGCAGCTTGCTTTCCAGCTCTAGTGCTGGGTGGAGAGTGTGTGTAAAACCACCTGGCAAGCAGGAATTCTCTGCTCTTGTCCAACTGTGGATTGAAAAGCCTCTTGTGGAAAATGGGTTTGTTTGTTATCACCATTATACAGCTAGGGAAACAGAAGCAGGGGGGAGGAATGCCATCAGACAGAGCATCAGCAGCAGTGCTGAGAGTAGAACCCAGGAATCCTTTGTTTTAGCCCACACACAACTAGGAGAAGAACCCAGGAGTCCTGATACTCGGTTCCCCTTGACCCACGTGATAGATTGCACAACCCCAAGGCTCAGTCCCCCTTTGGTCTCATAGGCCCTTCCCCAGACAGAGACAGCAACCTTAAACCCAGGAGTCCTGCCTCCCAGCTCTAGCTGTGCTCCACCAATCCCCTCCCAGAAGCAGAAGTAAAACCAAGATGTCCTGCCCCCATCCCCTCCCCACCCACTAGATTCCAGTCCCCTGCCAGCGCCAAGAATGGAACCCTGGAGTCCTGATGAGGGACGGTGAAGTGATTTGCCCAAGGCCACGCAGCAAGTCAGTGGCAGAGTCACTTGGTAGTGGGCTGGGGGGTGCCAGTTGCTGCTGACTCCAGTGGATGCAGTGGGCACTGATGGACCAGGTCCTATCCTATCACTGGCTCTGCTATCCTCATTGGCAGCAGCACTGAAACACCACCAGGGGGCATGAGCTCTCTCCTGCTGCCTCCCTTCCCTTTGCTCTGCCTCTGTTGAGCAGTCTGATCCCCACTCACTGCCACAGCAGCAGCCAACTCGTGCTGCCCTTGCTCAGATGCCGTTCCCTGTGCCGGGCAAGCCAAGCCATCGGGATCTCTCCAGCATCTGCATCCTCCTGAGCACCCTGAACCTCCTGGCCCCTGGTTGGTCTATGGGGGGTCTGTGCTGCTGAGACCTGCACAGCTCCTGCAAACCCTGGAGTAGCAGAGGTGGCACGGTGCCCAGCCTGGACAGTGGGTGCCCAGGGTCGAAGAGGAGCCAGGGAAAGTTTGTGCCGTGGGAGATTCAAGCTCTCAGGGGAAGACGCGCCCTGGACCTCCCCACCCTGCACCCCCAAAGATGCGATGGGGAGTCCTGGTCCTGCTGTACCTGCTGCGAGAGGCTGCGGGAGAGGCCAGCATGCACCAGGGAGCAGGTACGGCTATGCCCAGTACCACAAGGAAGCTGCTACCTAGTGGTGATGCCAGCTGTGGGGGGGGGGCAGGGAGGTGGGCACAGGTGTGCAAGGAAGAGGCATGCAAGAGTGTGGGGTGTCATTTGTGAATGGAGAACTGAGCGGGAACATCCATTCAGGTGTGTGTCTGGAACAGAGTACACCAGTGTCCCTCGCTCCCTGGGCATGTGCACCCAAGAGGGATGCTGTGTGCTAGTGTGATTGTGCCAGTGTCCCTGTGCACACAGTGCAAATGTCCCTGGTCACCGTGTGTACCCAGAAGCATGCATGAGTGTCCTGAGTGTGTGTCTGAGAGTGGGCACAAGTGTCCCTCTATGCATGCTTGCAAGTGTCTACAAGTGTCCCCAAGTGTGCATGACCCAAGTGTACCTGACTGATGAATGTTTTTGCATCTTGTCTTTTGCCACTTCCCTGGGCTTGTTCTTGGCACTTCCTCATGCTCCCTTCCTCCCCTCAAACACACTTAGTTCCCCTGTCCCAAGGGGTCTCTGGCAAGGGGTAGCTCTGTCTGGGGGCAACCCCTCTGCTGAGCTGGGGCAAGAAAACCCAAGCAAGGCTCTGCCAGCACCAGCACAGCTGGGACAGGAGCCCACAGGGGCCAGGGACATGGCTGAGGGTGTATAGCATCCGCTGTGCAACAGCTCAGCTCCCTGCCACCAGCCATTCTCATGCCCACAGACTTAGCTCTGACTGTCCCTTATTGCAGGTGGGTTAGATCCCACCCCAGAGGTGGTTGCATTTCAGGGGTATGGTAAGTGTGTGTTCGTTCCACCCCAGAAGTAGCTGAATTCAATGGTGTGAGTGTGTGTGACAGGGAAGAGAAGGTGTCTGGATTTTCTTCCCAAAGACAGTTGTGTTTTAAGTGTGTATGTGTGTTCACCTTTAAGAGACTGCATTTCAGTGATATGGGGGATGTGTGTGTGTGTTCGTGCATGTGCCAGGGTTCCACCTCACAGGCTGTTTCTGTCCAAGTCATCAGCAGCTGGTGATGTGTTTTGGGGTGACGGTCTCTATGCCAGGCACGAACGGTTCTAGTGAGGGCACGGAGAGAACAAGGACGTTTCTTCACGAGCAGGTGCATGAAGCATTAGATTGGACTCTGGGGCTGGTTCTAGGGTCCCCATGGATACATTTCCTGACCTGATCTGCTCTGTTCAAGCCTCTAACACAGGGCTCCCCTCCTTTTCAGTCCCACCAGCTGGAGGGAAGGGGAAGCAGGAAAAGAGGCATTTCCCCCTCTGTTGATGCTGGGCCTGGGGACTGGCTGTAGGGGGACAGGGGTTATTAAGGGGGGTGCTGCAGGAATGAGGGTGCAGCTAATGGGAGGGAGAATACTTTCCCTCCAGGCTTCAGGTCTGAATCCAGTGCTGTAACCCCAGAGCTTTTCTGCCTGTTGGAAGTGTGACAGGAGAAGGTTGGCAGGTCTCAATCTAGCCCTTAGTGGCCAGGTGCCTGCACAGCTGTGGGCCCTCCCTGGATCCCTTGGTAGAGGTGCCAGGGATGGGATGGACTGAGGCTGGTGGTCCTGCCAGGGCTGGATGGGTAGGAGGAAGCTTGCCCTAGTCACTGCCCCTGCTTGGCTCCCAGGCTAGCTCCAGCCAATGTAGCCTGCAGTCTCAGGGAGCCTGGGAGATGGACACAGGTGTTGCTTGCCCTGCCTGTGTTACCTTCCCTCCAACACCACAAGCCACTCCCCAGCCACAGACAACAGGCCTGGCTCATTCACACTGCCCTGTTTCCCCCAGCATTCCCCAAGCCTGCACTTCTGACCTCAGGACCTGGGGTGCAGCCCAGGGCAGGACTGGAGTTGGTGGGGCCAGACCAGGGCACTGCTCTTGGGGCTGGATGTTGCCCATGTGGATACAGATGGAACAGCTTCATCTCCTTCTGACTGCAGCACCATACACCATGGCTCCCCCAGAGCCCATGCCAGATGGGCCTGGAATCCAGTGCCAGGTCTCCCTCTTTCTGGGCCAGAGGCTGGAGTGATGGAGCCTGCTCCAAGGACAGAGACGGAAGGTCTACCCTGTACTTACCACCCCCAGAGATTCTTCTGCAGGGTGTGAGGTGGGGAGATGATCCCCCAGTGGCATCAGTCAGTGCCACCCCCTTGACTTCAGATGCCAGTTTACATTAGCAGAGGAATTAACCCAAGTACAGGTGCCAGGTAGAGCAGGGCCCTGCTGAGCATTAGGGGAGGGAGGAATGTGGCTGGCTGCAATCAGCATGTTGGATCTGGGGTTCTGATCTCCTTACCTCCTGCCCGGGCAGCAGTCTGGAGCATATGTGTGTACATGTGTGCATATGTGTGCATGTATGCATGTGTGCATATGTGTGCACATGTGCATGTGTGCATACATGCATATGTGCATGTATGTGTGAGGTTCACCCTCCAGCCTGCATGCCAAATGCAAAGCCAGGCCTTAGTGGCACCCTTCATAGCTTGCCCTGTTACTGCATCCCCCCCTGCCCTGCACAGCATTGGCAGATATGGCATTTGCATTCCCTTCACACTGATCTCTTTACCCTCGTGATCTAGCAAAGGCAGGACAGTCCCCTTCTGTTATTACCCCCCCCTGGAGTCTCTGTGACTCTGGATCTAGGACACGTAGAGAAAAAAAGAGCTATTTACAGGCAGTCCCCGTTCCCCACTCCCCTCCCAGCCTGCAAGACCATATGTATTACTGATGGTCCCTAGCCAGATGGAGAATGCCTGATTACTCATTTGCGGGGCTGAGGGCAGGTGCTTTACTGGTGCTCCCTAAGTGGGAGGTTGCAGTAGCTGTGCCTGCCCCAACCATTTCTGAGGCATTTGCTCTGGGACCCGCCTGTCCAAAGGCCCATCTGGCCTGAGCGCCGGCGCTGCCACCTGCTCCAGGGCTTGGCCTGGTGTCTGGGATACCTGCCCTGCTCTCTGGCTTCTCTCTTTCTGTTGCTGTGAAAACCACAAAGCTTGTTAGCCTCCAGACTGCCGGTCCCTCACCCATCCCAACTCTCTCCCAGCCTGAGATTTAGAGCCCTCTCTGTAAACAGGAAAAGCCGGCACTGCTGAGAGGGCTCTGCTAACACTGCCTCTCCTAAGAGCTTCATGCCAGGAAATGGAGGGAAACAGGGCCAAGCCACAGAACCATCTGAGCCAAACAGCCCCTTCTGGCTTGACAGCCCATACTCCTCTGTACGGCCTGTCACTCTGAAGGGAGATCGGTTGGAAGTCCAGCAAGACTCCCTGGGAAGGACGGACACAAAGGTGATAGCTGTTTCCCTTCAGGAGTTTGTAGGAGGCAAGCTGAGGGCTTTCAAGCTGTGGGGAGGCAGAGAGTGAACTGGCCAGGACACCTCCTTCAGCAGGTTTGGGAGACCAGGATGCTGTCAGGGTGGCCGAGTGGTCACATAGGGCGCATCTGCTTGTTGCTGTGCTTTAGTACTTCCTTTTGGAAGTAGTAAAACGTGGCACAGTATGCGTGGTTACTGTGCCATGTGCATGGCACACAATTGAATTTCCCTGCTACGTTGCTGTAGCCGCACTCCATACCTGGGGAACAACTTGCTAAGTTGCCATATGTCTACTCGTGATCGCTGCCGTGCAGCAATGTAGTGTGTTGCTACACTGCCATAGGACAACCTGTAGATGTGCCCGTAGTTGTGTGCACCAGTGCCCTGACATAACCCTTGCAAGTGAACAGTGATTTATGCCTGCTCAAGACTGGGATACATAACTGCATGAGGCAGCAGAGGGAACTGGGAGCACCTAGGGCTGCTCTCCAGAGATGCAGCCTTCCAGAAGGGTTGGCTCCTGGCTGGGGGGGATGGCTGGAGGACCCCCTCCCACACACACACACACTGCCTGCCCCTCTCCTCCTCCAGCCCAGGATGCCATCCCAAGCCCTCCAAGTAAAGCTGCAGAGAGGGAGGTTTCCAAACACAGGCCTGAAAGTGAGGGCCTTGCTCACAAGGTGGCAGGCTGAGGCCTGGGCTGGGTTCAAACATGCCTTGTATCGCCAGCTGGCAGGCTTGGGGGCTGCTCTCCACCCCGCCAGCTCCTTCCCACCGGCTCAGCTTCTCTTCCTTGCCGTGAGGAGAGGGCTGCAGAGGGGGCCCTGCACAAGTGAGAGGGTGTGTTTCAAGCAGGGCTAGATCCATCCCGGCTCTGAGGAGGGGTCACCTGTTTGGAGGCAATGGGAGCTCCCTGGACTAGGGCTGTCTGTGCCACAAGTGGGCTTTACAGGGACATGGGGGAAACAAAGCACAGATCCATCCTGGTATCACCCCCCAGTCCCCTCTCCAAATCTGCACCCCTGGGAAAAAGCTGCTGGGGAGGTGCCACAACCTGGCAAAGCTGAACAGGGACCTGGCTAGATATAGGGCTATTCCCTGGGAGTCCTTACTGCGCCCTGTCAGCAGCCCCTAGCAGAGTGATCACAGCTCAGGCCCTGGCTGACCAGAGGTGACTGTCATTTCGGGCATCAGGATCTGCTGCTTACTGGACACAGCTCAGGGCCCAGCCAGACCATTGTAATAAAGTGCACACAGCATCCATTTGTGGGTCATGGGGTACCTGGGCAGGGTCCTCAGGGGAGCTGGCATTGCTGGGCTAGTTGGGACTACAGGGTGGGGCTGAGGGGCACCAGCAGAGCAGTGCTGAGGAGGGACCCTGGCCCTGGTGAGCAGAGAGGGGTCTGGACACAATTGCCAATCTGTGCTCCCCACCTCCCCAGTCCTGCACTGCCTTCCCCTGCTGCTGGCAGAGACGGGCAAGCCGCGGCCTGCCTGAGCATGGAGGTGTCAGGCTGACAGATGGGGAAGCTGTTCAGAGGAAGCCATTACTGGACGCTGCAGGGCAGACGCAGCACAGGGGCTGCAGCTCCCTGCAGAGGGGAGAGGTCCTGTGAGGGGGAAGGGCAGCCCATGAATTACTGGGGCTCTTGCTCAAGCTGATTCCTGGCTTAACCACACAGCACGGA